AGCTAGACAACACCAAACCCTTTACCCTGTTCATTGCATGTTTATGTGTTTGTATTGTGGTCTATGGAGATTGTCCATCTATGGAGATTGTCAATCATGTAGATCATGGTTGTCTCAAAGGTGCTTTTTTTTTCAAGAGACAACTGGATTTTTGGGGGGCTTTTTGAAGATGTTTTGCTTCTCACCCAAGAAGCTTCTTCAGCTCTGACTGGCTGGTGGGGAATGGAAGGATTGAGGTTCCTTGCAGACAGCTGGTCATTTGCATCCTTTTAGTGGGTCATTGAAGCACTTGGAGGTTTATCTGTGTCCTCAGGGTCCCCTGAGCGGTGCAAATGGTTCCCGTAATCTGCAATTTTCCCTCTGGAAATCCGTTCCTACTCCCACACCATTCCAAGGGTGTCCATCCCAAATTGTATAGCTAAATTGTCTGTAGAGAGTTCATGACCATGACCATGATGACTGAGAATCTCTACAGATGTCCCTTTCTGAAAGTTTTAAGAGGAGATTGAACAGCCATTTATCTGGAATTGATAGGATCTGCTGCCATGGGCAGAGGGTTGGTCTAGAAGACCTCTAAGGTCCCTCTCAAGCCTATTACTATTCTATGTTCTCCAACTGACCCTTCCCACATTGCAGAAAGTCCAGTTGCCTCTTGGAGGGGGAAAAAAACCCACCGTTGGGAGTCTCAGATTCCAGTTTGCCACGATTTAACCTTTTTTAGATAGGCTGACGTTGGTTTTTCATGAGCAAATCTCTTTCCGGTAGCTCAAAGAGATGGACGAGGCAGAAGATGCTCTCTCTGAAGCCAATGCCCTCAACAACAGCAATCCAGAAGTCTGGGCCTACCTCGCTTTGGTCTGCATGAAGGTGAGTCTCCAGAGGTCCATTTTTATCCAACAGCTAAAGAATTTGCTCTTCTCTCTGATCATTGGGTTGAGATTGATGTAAAACTATTCAACATCACTGACAATGCTGCTGCCNGATACTGCAAAATCCCCACCCCACTCTGGGGCCAGCCAAAGGTGGTGTTTGTTGGTTCTCCAAACTACTCAAAATTTCCATTACCGGTTCTTCAGAACTTGTCAGACCCTGATGAATTTCACCCCTGGGTGGCATGGTAGCAATATTGCATTATTTGAGGGGCTGCCACAAAGAAGAAGGGGTCATCCTATTTTCCAAAGCACCAGAAAGATAAGAAGCAATGGATGGAAAATAATCAAGGAGAGAAGCAACCTGGAATTAAGGAGAAACTTCCAACAGTGAGGACAATCAACCAGTGGTACAGCTTTGCCTTCAAAAGGTGTAAGTGCTTCATCATTGGAGGTTTTTAAGAAGAGATTGGACAGTCATTTATCTTAAATTGTATAGGCTTTCCTGCTTGAGCAGGGAGTTGGGGTTGGACCTCCAAAATCCCTTCCAGCTCTATTCTGATTGAAAACTGACTGAACAACTGATTGAGAACCCTTCTGGTCTCATGTGTTCTGCTGGATTTACAGGTGTATGCTGTGGCTAGGAAGATCCATGCCCATCTTCATCTTGTGCCTCAGTGACAACCTGTGTAAAATGGAAGGTGCCCAGAGACCCTATCCTTCTGTGTTTGCTTTCACCCCCATGAAACAATCTCATTGCCATTATACTGACATCTTTCCAAACATTTATCTCTTAAGATAAAGCAACATAGAATGCCCCAATATTGTTAGATCCCTTTTGCCTAGGGTCATGGGTAATAGGAGTTCTGATCCAACACCATCTGAAGATTTGAAAAATCTCCCTTCTAATGTTAGAAGGACAGAGGGAACATTGTCACAGCCCAGCCTAAGCCAATAAAATATTAAGTCATGTACACTAGACTATCACATTAGCCTTTGTTTGACAATCAAACAAAGTGTCATTTTCAAAAAGATAATGATTTTAGCATCTGAAAGAGGACAAAGCTGGATTATTTAGATAGTGAAAGATATACGGGGAAAACAAGACTACAGTTTTCTACTGACAAGATACAAGAGCTGGAGAGGTATGTATTTTTCTATATTTTATATTAGAGGTATGGTAGGCACTAGATTTGTATTTACAGAGGGGAATCTGTATCTTCTGGATGTTTTCTCAAGATAATATGAACTTTTTTTACTGGAATAATATTTCAGTAAACATTTAAGGAAATGTTTCCCTAATTATCTTTTTTTTTAAAAAAAGATTTAATTAATTTTTTATTGTTTACATTTATCAGTGCTTAATAAACATCATGTCTGGCTATTTAATTTGCTTAACAATACAGATTACATTCTTAATCTACACCCCTTTTTTCCAACCACTGGTAAAATAAATTCCATGTTTGATAATATTCTGTGTCTTCTTTCTATTTAATTTTCAATGTAAGTTTAGAGAGACAACTGGCTCAGTTCTTAATTAAAAATAAGAAATATGAAACGTAAATAAATAATTACTGGACTGGTGCCCTTCATTTCCCATCTTCCTCAGCTTGCGTGGGCATGTTGTTGAAAAAGGATGGTTTAAGTTGTATTCTTATATGTAGAAACATCTACATAAAAAGCAGACAGAGAGAAGGGGCTGAAGACATCTCAGTGGAATAGTGATTCTCTCTGGGGATCTGATGTGAAGTAGTGATTATCTTGCCTTGCAGGAGCATTTGCTCTTTATCTCTAGTTTACTTGTAAATGTATAAAGCTAATCAATATTACAAGAACAGCATAAAGTCTTAGTATTCTTTTGGTTCCAAGGAGACCATCCTAATAAGTACCAGCCTGTTTCTCACCATTGCAGAAGTGGAGGGTACATCTCATTCTCTTTGATCTCGCCATCTTTGCTTTCAGATGTTTCCTCCATCCAGTCACAACTAATGAGGGCAGGAGCAACTGCCAAGGGAATATGTGTTTGCTGTTGCAGTGGTACAGCTGGCACTCAGGTCAGGGATACAATTTCTTGGGGAACACAGGAGATATCACAGATTGAAAATATACCAAATAAAGAGGCTGGTGGTACCAGAGCACAGAGGGTAGCATTGGAACATTAACCAAAGATGCTTTGGACAGAAACAACTGGGGCCCAATTACTATTATAGAGCTGGACAGCTCTTAAGATCATTAAAGGAGTATTGGTACTTCTAGCCCACAGGTGGTTACTTGCAAAAAAAAACACCCTACTGTCAGGTGGAATCTTCCCTCCCTGAAAGTCTGGAAGCTTCTAATATAATGTCTTATAGGTGCCCATTGAAGACTCCTTCTGGCATTCCTTGGAAATGAATGCCATGTCTCCCATGCTGGGGTTGGGACAATCTATAGCAGAAGCACTTAGACCTGGACCAAAGGATGACATCTCCCCCCAAAATTAGACCTGATGCCTTTTTTGATGGCAAAAAAATATAAGACAGGGTCTTATTTTTGGAATATATCACTTCACAGTACTTTACAGCCCTCTCTAAGCAGTTTACAGAGTTAGTATATTGGGTCCTTGTTCTACCAACCTCAGAAGGATGGAAGGCTGAGTCAACCCTGAGTCAGTGAGGATCGAACTGCTGGTGTAGGCAGAACTAGCTTGCATACTACATATAGTCCTCAAGTTATAACCACAATTGAGCCCAAAATTTATGCTGCTTAAGTGAAACATTTGTTAAGTGAGTTTGCCCCATTTTACGACTTTCTGTGCTATAATTGTTAAGCGAATTATTGCATTTGTTAAATTAATAGCATGGTTGTTAAGTGAATATGGATTCCACGTGGACTTTGCTTGTCAGGATGACTCAAAAGGGGATCACACGGCCATCATAAATATGAATCAATTGCCAAAGTTCTGNTTGGAGGTCTTCTAGTCCAACCCCCTGCCTAGGCAGGAAACCCTACACCACCTCAGACAAATGGCTATCCAACAGGACCCAGATTGTTGGGGGCAATATGCTGACTCTGTAAACCGCTTAGAGAGGGCTGAAAGCCCTACGAAGCGGTATATAAGTCTAACTGCTATTGCTATTGCTATCTTCTTTAAAAACATTCAGTGTTGGAGAATTCACAACTTCTGGAGGCAAGTTGCTCCACTGATTAATGGTTCTAACTCTCAGGAAATTTCTCTTCAGTTCTAAGTTGCTTCTCTCCTTGATTAGTTTCCACCCATTGCTGCTTCTCCTATCTTCTGGTGCTTTGGAGAATAGTTTGATTCCCTCTTCTTTGTGCCAACCCCTGAGATAGTGGAACACTGCTATCATGTCTCCCCTAGTCCTTCTTTGTCAGAGTTGAAGAAGCTGCTTGGATGAGAAGGGAAACGTCTTCGAAGGAAAACCAGAAACTCCAGATGCCTCTTGAAACAAACAAACAAACAAACAAACAAACAAACACCTCTGGGACGAGCAGCATTTAAGGCAGCAGGGCGGGAAGAGCCCTAAAGGCTGCCCGCCATCACAATTCCCCCTCACCCTTTTATTTTTATTTTTTCCCCCTCCCCCTTCTTTTGAAGTAGAAGTTTCCAGCAAAGGCCTTGAGGAAAGTTGCCCCTCAGGAGTTTTGGAATGCCCCAAATACCTCCTGCCATTGGCTACTCAAGCCTCGGCAGAGGCTGATGGGAGCTGGAGTCCGGAACATCTGGAGGGCACCTAGGTTATGGGGCTAGAAGGTAAACCACCACCACTCCGCGCCTCACAAGCCTCGCAGGTGGGCGCGCAGCAGCCCCGCCAAGGAACCTACCGGGCCTCTCCGGCCCTTCGCTCGGCAGCCTCCCGGGCTCCGCCCTGCGCTTTCCCCCCCACTCTCGCCCGCAGAGAGAGAGAGAGAGAGAAAAGAAAAACGTCCGAGGCCAGAAGCGGCTTTAAGGCGAGTCCGACGCGCGTCCGGCCTGCGGAACGGAGCCTCTCCAGCGCTAGGACCTGGCCACGGCGCCCTCAGGGCGAGGTGCCATTGCCGCTGCCGCCGCCGCTTCCTCCGATCCCCCCGCGCGCGGGTGGGTGGGCGGCTCGAATTACGTCGCCGAGCCTCTCCCAGACCCTTCGGCCGCGTCCGAGGGAAAAAAAAAGGGAGAAGGCAGCTTCGTTTCTCGGGACGGTCCCTTCTTCTACTTTCTCCGCCGGGGGATTTCTCTCTCTCTGTCTCTCTCCGCTTCGCCGCGCCGGATACATGGGCCACCCTTAGGACCCAGAGACGTTTGCTATGATTTGGGCAGCCGTAGGTAAAAAAAAATCTATAAAATAGTAAAATAATATATTTTTAAAAAATTTTTTGCTTCGGCATTCCGAGCATTCCGGCGTGGGAAGCGCGGTGCGGGCTCGCTCTCTCTCCCACCCACTCCTACCCGGGGATCCTCACCTACCCTCTCTCGTTTTCGCTTCGCGGGATGTCCCCCCCCCCCAAAAAAGCCCCCAAACCCCGCAGGGAAACCCGCTGCAGCCTGTCAAAGCTGCACATGCTTGCGCCCTGCGCCTGCCTGCCTGCTTGCCTTTAAGCCTTCCCCCATGATGGCCGGAGTGCTTGGGGTTGGGGTGGGATGGGGGGGTGGCTGGGAAGACGGGTGGGAAAGATCGGGATGGATGGTTCCGAGCAGATCTGGCTGGGAATGATGGGGGCGGGGGTGGTGGGAAGGCTTGTTAATTGGAAGTGGAGATCGGGGTGGATGGATGGTTCTGAGCAGATCTGGCTGGGAATGATGGGGGGTGGGGTGGGGAGAAGGCTTGTTACATGGAAGTGGAGATCGGAGTGGATGGATGGTTCTGAGCAGATCTGGCTGGGGACGATGGGGGCGGGGGTGGGGGAAGGCTTGTTACATGGAAGTGGAGATCGGGATGAATGATGGATGGTTCTGAGCAGATCTGGCTGGGAACGATGGGGTCGGGGGTGGGGGGAAGGCTTGTTACATGTAAGTGGAGATCG